CAGACAATGAATTATGGATCTGTATAAATTTTTCAAAGTCTAGAGTTTTCTCATGTGTAAAATGGAGAGTGTGATGGTTAATTTTATGTGTCAATTTGTCTGGGCCATGGTGCCCAGATGTTTAATCAAGCATTATTCTGGATGTGTCTGTGAGAGTGTTTTAGGTAAAATTTACATTTAAATCACTGGACTTGGAATAAAGCAGAATACCTTTCATGATGTGGGTGGGCCCCATACAACTAGTTGATGGCCTCATAGAACAAAAAGCTGACTTCCCCCAAGCAAGAGGAAATTCTGCAGTAGACCACTTTTGGACTTGAATGGTAACAATGGCTCTTCAGGTCTCCAGCCTGAATGTCTCTGGACTCAAACTGCAACCTGCAACTATTTCCTGAGTCTCTGGTTTGTCAGTTTTCTCCATCAAAAAAACTTTACACACCTTATTCTTTATAGGCACTTGATTATATAGGTGGTAATTTAAGTAACTGTTTTGCCATTGCATAGCATGGATTACCAGTGTACCCTTTACCAGTGGCCTTTAAATCTAATCAAAGCAGAAAATCAATTCCAGATAATCCAGATCCAGTTAGAGTACCCATTCATGAGGTTATATTCTTCTGGAACTACTTCTGTAATTGAAACCAATTCCTATATGTATCAGGGTTTATTCAGGAAAACAGAGCTACACTGAGTGATACAGAATATGGGATTTATTTTGGGAATTAGGTGTGACACACCTGTGGGAGCTGGTAGAAAAGCCAATGCAATGCAGTTGTTTCTGCATCTGGTGTTAAGTCCAAAGTCACTATGGGCCAGCTAAACTAGATGTCATGAAGAAAAGCTAGATATGAACGGAAGCAACTGTAAGGACAAACTAGAACCCTGTTTTCATTTATCTCTCACCATCTCCAACTACTGCCGTAGATGACCTGCAGGAGAAGCTGGTGCCCTTTCCCATGCATCTACATGTTTAAGAGGAGTCTGTTACACATCCATATGTACATCCTCTTGGCCTTCGTCTAAGGGACCTGTGAAGAGTTAGCAGGGTGACCATGCAGTGGGGAAAAAGAAATCCAGGACATTTTCAGTATTACTGAGCAAGGCTGCTGAAAAAATTCTACAGATCCCAAATACCACAGTGGTCACTAACCAGGAGAGGTCTATGCAGATCAGGTCATCAATGAAGTCTTCGCTTAAGTTGTCTCACAATGGGCCTAGTGTGTCTACAATCCTACTCTGTGGTTATTTCCCTGGTTCTGGGATGTATAATTGGAACAGACACACTGAGCAACTAAATGGCAAAATCTCTACACTGGTTCTGTAAGCAGTGAAGTAAAGGCTATTATAGTAGGAAAGACCAAGTAGCATTTGAGGAAGTATAGTAAAGGCAAGGTACAATAAAAGTTTGACTTTCCACTTTATCTGTTTCCAGAATGTGCTGGTTCCACAGCATCTTCCAAAGGTGTCCAAAGCCTTTTTTTCTTTATTAAATATCATTCTGAAGTCACGGATTTTTAATATATTTGACATGTTTCAATTTATTGTAGATACTCTTTTTGATGTTCAAACTGCCCCCACATCAGCCAGAGGGTGCCTACTTAAGTTAGCTCCTGGGTACTTTTGCCATGACCCAAGTAATGTTGATACCTTCTTTACCTTTTGCTACAACAAAGTGTTTTCTAGGCTCATCTTCTACTTTTCTATCCTAGATCTATGATCAATCATTTCTTTAAAGAGTCCTGGTTTCTTTTGGGATACCTCATTGCGACAGAATACTGGTCAGTGCTTCCAGGTCCTTTTAGTGGACAGAGCCAGGAGATACATGTTTTTAAGAGTAAAACACATCATGAGTTCCCATTATATTCCCAATTTCAATTCGAGTTGTAAGTTTTATTTAATTTCTTTGAGTTTCTTCTCTATTATAAAAATCTTGGTTCTTAAAGACATTTACATAATTACTCAATTGCTTTATCTCATAATTATAAGCTTCAGAATAATAATACCGATATTATTTCTAATGATATAACTACTAAACACAGTTTATGGTTTTTTTACATTTCCTTTTATCCTTAGGATTTATCTCACTAGGGATATACAGTCTAATTACTGTGTTTAATGTAACTTGACATAATTTATCTGTGTAATTAAGCCATTAACTTCCTACACAATTAGCTCATTTGTCTAATTTTACTTTCAATTTAAAAAAAATTTTTTTTAGAGTTTATTTATTTTTGAGAGACAGACAGACAGACAGAGTGTGGGTGGGGGAGGGGCAGAGAGAAAGAGGGAGACACAGAATCCAAAGCAGGCTCCAGGCTCTGAGCTATCAGCACAGAGCCCGATGTGGGGCTTGAACTTGGGAATGGTGAGATCATGACCTAGGCCGAAGTCGGACGCTCAATCAACTGAGCCACCCAGGCGCCCCTAATTTTACTTTCAATTTTGGGGTTTTTAAAAAATTTTTTGATTTAATTTAAAAAATAATTATATGAACATTTATATAGCTTCAAACTCAAGCCAATATATCTATAAAACAAGTTTCATTCAAAGAAGTCTAGCCTTCATCCTTTGCTCCTTTCTCTTTCCTCACAGAGAACCATTTCAATTACTGTTTTGGTCACCTCTCTTTTTGAGAATGTGTGCATGTGTGTATGAACATAGCGTATACGTAGCATGCTGGTATATATATGTACATACATACACAGAGACGCCCCCCTCTTAAAAGGTAGAATACTACACACACTGTATAATACTTGATTTTTTCACTTAATATATTTTGGATACTGCTCCATGTGCTAAGATTTTAATTGGGATTACGATGCATCTATAGATGACAGGGGGCGTGGGAGGGCTGTTAACAAATTTATAACATTGAGTATTCTGATCAGTTAACCTGATCTCTATCTAGGTAGGCCTTCTTTAATCATCCCGATATCATAGTTATGTAGAAGTCTTACACATTGTTAGATTTATTCCTGGGTATTTTATCTTTTTGATGCATTGTTAAGTTTACTATTATAGGTTTAATTTTGAAATATTTGTTGTAGGTATGTAGGAATACAATTGATTTTTATATATTTGCATATTATCTATTAATTATTTTGGACTTATTACATATACAGTCATGCTATCTGTAAAGAATGACTGTTTCTTCCTTCCTTTCTAGTTTGTTTACCTTTTCATTTTCTTGCCACAGTGCACTGAAAATCAGGACTTCTGATACAAACATTAATAGAAGTGATAATAATGAACTTCTTTGTATCTTCTCAATCTTCAAAGGAAAGTTACTAACATTTTTTGCCAATAAAAATGTTTGCTTTAGAATAGATACCTTTACAAAATTAAAGAAATTCTATTTCTAGTTTGCTAAGAGATATTTTGAAAAATGATAAATGGATATCAAATATTATCAAATGCTTTTTCTGTATTGAGAAGGCCTTATAATTTTTCTTTTTTAAAAAAATCTAATGCAGTAAATTATATTATTTATTTTCTAAGCTTTTAATAATTTTGCATTCCCAGGATAAGCCAAATTGGTAACAATTTTTTTTTTTGTTAGTTCTTTAATGCTCTTGATAGATGTTTTCTACAATTCATCTAACTTTTTTGGTTGTGGTCTAGGGCGGGTTCAAACTGCCTAGCTCACCATTCATTAACTGGAAGCAGAAATTCTCTTTGTCTCTTTAATTCATTCCAAATACATTTTTATTCCAGCATTCCACCAAAACTGCTCTTATCATGGTTAACAAAGACCATCAAACGGCAACAAACTAAAAGGTCCATTCTCAGTCCTCACCATATTCACCACTCAGTAGCATTTTATAAAACAACAGTTAAGAGCATATTGTCTTTACTGGTCATTCTGTTAGCTAAGTGACTTTGACTAAGTTCCTTAACCTCCCTCAGCCTCAGTTTCTCTACAGTAAAATGTAAATGACAATGTTATCCAGTTCTAGGGTTGTTGTAAAGTTTAAGTAAGTACATCTAAGTCGTTTAGAACAACAACAAAAAAACACATTATGTGCTAAATAAATATCACCTATTATTATTGCTTATACTCCTGAAAAAAAAAAAAGATTTCTTTTTTAACCATTCTGTCATGATTCTTATTTCTCTGGATATTCTTTCTCAGTGTCTTTCAGACTTTCAGACTCTTCCAGTCTCAGTCTTCATCTCTCCAGAATTTAACTTTTGGAACTTAGTCTTCTGACAGCTTAATTTCTCTACCTAGACTTCCTTTCTACACAATATTATCCCATGACTTTAAAAATCACGTATATGTTAATGAGTCCTACAATTATAGCTCCTGTTGCAATATCTTCCTTGAACTTCAAACTTACAGACTCTACTGACTAGTTAATATCCCGATTTAAATGTCTTCTAGGCAGCACATATTTAACATGGTTCAAACAAACTTTTTAAAATGATTTCCAACCCTTCAAAACCTAATCCAAGTTAGAATCATTTTATACGCCAATTATTACAGTATTTGCCAACCTTCTCCCTTCTACCCTTGCCCCTCTAGTCTGTTCTTCAAACTTCAATCAAACTGATTTGTTAAACATTTAAGCCTGATCATATCACTTTGCTCAAAGCTTTCCATAGCATCCCATCGCATTCAGCATAAAAGCTCAAGTACTTTCCAGGCAGGGGTCAGCAAACTTTCTCTTCAAGGGCCAGAGAGCAAATATTTCAGGCTTTGCAAATCAATCACATTCTGCTGCAACCACAAAATATTATATGCTATACCTATATGCAAAGAGTATTAAGATTCTAAACTGCCACGTCCAAAAAAAATCATTATATTCTGTGGAATGTGACTAAAGTTTTCAAAAATGTAGTATGAGTTTTGGTTTCTAATGCTTAATATTTTTCATAGCAGTTCAATAAATATTTGCTGAATAAAAAAAATAAGATATTTTTACAAAAAGATGGCAAAGACATTAAAGGTTAAATAATTTATTCTGTAAAATGTATCAAACAATTAATAGTGGACTTACTTGAGATTACTGATTCTAATCTCTGCACTTTCAGTAAGTTTCTTTGTTTCTTCTTTCCACCTATTGGCCACCTTCTGTTGAGTCACTAAGAGATGTCTCAGTTCAACAGTGGAATTTCGATTACTGTCTTCCATCTCTCTTAGTTGAACTTCAAATCCATGTTCCTTTATTGAAAATTCATGTTCCATTGTACTGATCTAAGGAACAAAATGAACACATATCTTCTTTTATTTATTTATTTATTTTCTATTGTAGGGGATACACTGATCAGTGATACTTACAAAAGCAATAACTCATTGTGGTGTTTGTGGCACAGAAATGTCTGGATGAGATATATAAAAATAAGTTTACAATTTTCCTTCATCACAAATGAAGACTTATCCTGTATTGTAATTTAAATTTGGTGAAACCAGAATTATGGACAATTTTTTTGCAACACTTTCCTCAACATCTTAAAATGCCGGTAGGAAAAAAGTATACTATTTAATATAAAACTGCTCTCATTATCTACTTTTACTTTTGCTGCCAGGATCCATGGAAAATGTTCATGCTCTCAAATAACTGAGAGCTTTTTACTCAAACCATTAAAAAAAAAGTTTACTAATTTATTATAAAGGGTACAACTCAGAAACAGGCAAATGGAATAGTTATATAGGGCAAGGTATGGATTTGGGGGTGTGCAGAGCCTCCACGGCCTCTCCAAATGCACCATCCTCTCAGCACCTTAATGTGCTCAACTCAGAATCTCCTCAGGTCACCTCATACTAAATTTCAAGTTGTCTTTTAAAGGGTTTTGTAAAGAAAGTAATATACGAGAATTTCTTTACCACTTCAGTTATGGTATAAACATTTCTTTTTCAGGAAAAAAAAGACTATAAATAATGATTTTTCAGAATCTCATATGTAAGGATTGTCCATTATTTCCAGCTAATTTATGTCATTAGGGTAAAAATAACTTAATGCAGAATAAACATATAAGTAAATGCTTTTTGAATACTCTAGAAGCATTCTTAATTGGGGTTCAGGGAGAAAATTAAGCCCTAATGCTCTCAGGCATTCAGTGTATGTAATGAATTGCCTTCTCTTGAATGCTTCTAGAATGAAACTGTCTATACCATCCTTGAGGCAACTGAGAAAACAGTCACTAGAACAATTTATTTGGTGTACTCTCAGGCCATCTTTATCTTACGATACTAAAGAAACATTATAAAGAATATTTATCTTATGATATTTTAAAGTAATGTGCTTTAAAGATCGTTACAGCTGGTATAGCTTATAGTAATTCATCAAATATGGCCACTTTCCAAAATCAAAAAAGGATGAATAAAAAGGACTCAACTTTACTCAATACCAAGGAAAACTAAACAACAGCAAAATCCATGGTTCTTGGGGTAAACTGCAAACACCCATCCTCACTACTTCTGCTAAATGCAATGTGCTTCCTAAAACTCTTAAATTTGGTTTCTCAAATAATATACAAGTAGAAATTTAAGACTTTATAAATACTGGCACTGGGAAAACAACCTTGGTTTTATTAATTGTCTATTATATTACAAGCTTCAGAGTCTCCTTGACTCCTGCTATTTTAATTTCTGTCTTATTGGATTCTGCAAATTTAGATTTGAATATGCTCCTACTCCTTCTCTGTCTCAATCTCAACCTTGCCTGGAGAAGCCATGGTTCTTATGTGTTAGGCAGAACCGTCTATTTCTGTCTTTGTCTCTCTCATATATATATTAAAAACTGATAAACGCATCTATACAGTTTTAGAAGTCTGCGTGCCTAGTTAACTCCCCATTTCTTCTTAGAAAGTTTATTTGTAATTTGATAAGCCTTGTTCTGAGGTTCTTTGTGACAACCTCGTCTTTGTCTACTTCTAACAAGCTTGTGTTGTGCTACTATTCCCTTTTTTTTCTTTGTTTCTGTTACAATGGCTTCTCATTCTTGGCTCATTTTCACATGTAGTTCCCTTTGCCTGAAGTAATCTTACCCCTCCAGCTTGTCTTAGTTATTTCTATTCAATTTTTAAAACTTAGTTCAATTATTGCTTCTATCTAGAACCAAATCAAGTCCCTCTAAGTTCTCTCAGTGCCCTATGTTTTTCCTAAAGAGTATTTATTAGTTTGTAAATACATGTTAAAGTTTGCCCATCTCCATGAAAAAATGACAGTTTTAAGGTTGGGGGAGGCGCATGTCTTCATTACATTTTCAGCACCTGAAACATAGTAAAGTTACCAAAACACATCTGTAGACCAAATTAATGATGGCTTTTTGGTATCAAAATGTAGTCTTTAAACACATGCCAGATCCTTTAGCTGGTGAAATTCCAACTGTTAAACTGGACAGATCTGCAGCTATGGACTACAAACAACTGAGTCTCCTATAAAAGAAGTCCCACTAATGATTAAATTCAATATATTGGTAGGAAGAAAGGATTTATGGTCTCCCTTTTTTCTTTGTGCTTTTCCTCTGCAGAGAACCACTCACACAAATAGTTCTGTCATCCTTTTGTTCTCCAAAACATCAATTACTATCCTGAACTGTTAAAGATAGATAAAATGTAGCACCAGGTAGGGAAAGTCATGAATTTCCCTCTCCCCCATTATAAAAACCAAAACCCGTAAACATAAACATATTGTAAAGTAATGGAAGATAAAAAAAATTAAAAACAAATATAAGGTTTCTGTAATTGACAATTCAGAGATAACTACCTCTACTCTACCTGTTGTTTTTTATTTATGAATTTTAGAAGTTAGAGTAGTGAATACAGAATTGCAATATATATATAGTTATATTTTTTCTTATTGTTTTAAAACTTAGACATAGCAATATAAAAAACATTATAAATTATTTAGAACCAATTTTTAATGATGACTCAATACAGTATTTTATAGATGTACCATCTCATTGTTCCTTCATTTCTAGTTATGAATAATGTTGCAATGGATTTTTTGAATTATGAAATATTTTACTTATTTTCTTACGAGAAAATTTTAGACTCTAAATGTGTACCATTTTTTAAAAAAAAATTAATATTTATTTTTTTGAGAGAGACAGAGTGCAAGTGAGGGAGGGAGAGGCAGAGAGAGAGGGAGACACAGAATCTGAAGCAGGCTCCAGGCTCTGAGCTGTCAGTATAGAGCCCGATGTGGGGCTTGAACTGACAAGCTGCAGTCGATTGACCTGGGTTGAAGTCGAATGCTTACCTGACTGAGCCACCCAGGGGCCTCTAAATGTGTATCATTTTAAACTCTCAGTTGCACATTCACTCACTGATAACTATGCAATTAATTAATAGTGACTTTAAACTTTAAAAAAGTTATTTACTAGCACTTTGTTTCCTTAGTCTGTGACTTCTGTTCATGTCTCCTACACGTTCTTCTATTGGGTTATAATATTTTTTAAAGCTCCTTATGTGTGAATGTTTTTTGTCTTTTGTCCCATTTACTAAAATTATTTCTCCCAGTTATTTCTTTTCAAAACATTTAAAAATGGTTCTAAATATTTAAAAACTTTATATACCTAAACCTACCAATATATTCATTTGCAATATCTTCCAATTTTGTTTGTTTTGCTAGGAAAGTTCTTTTCCATCTATCAGTTACATATCTGCCTACATCTCCCACTAATGTTTTATAGTGTCACTAATAGCTTTTAGTTATAAACCCATATGAAATTTATAATGTAAAATTTAAAATCGAACAAGGTACAAATAGTTTTTCACCAAGTACACTGACTTATTTTATTATGGAAATATTTTGGTATGAGAACTTTCAAGCATACACAAAATAAAAATAAAAATATTACAACGAATCCCTATGTGCCCATCAACCACATAGTGCACTTGTTTTATCTGCACTCCTACTAAACTTTCCTTTGCCAAGATTTATCTTTCTTTTCCTTACAATGAACTACATTCCAACTCAAGTTTTACACATATACTAACATGCCAGAGTCACCACCCTGATTTAGATATCTCAGGAGGCTCACTCATATGTCCTAATCATTACTCATTTTGTAATTGAAGTTGTAACCTCTATTCTGATCTCATCCTCATAGGTAATTATGCCTATTCTTCACTTTCAAATAATGAAATTAATAGACTAGAGATTTTTCGTGTCTGGCTTCTTTGTTCAACATTAGGTCTGTGAGACTCATCCATAATTATAGTTCATTCTGTTTTATTGGTGCATCTATTTCATTATCTGAGTGTACCACCATTTATTTATGTAATCTCATGTGGATGGACATGAGTTATTTTCAGTGTTCGATATGATTAAAACTTTTATGAATATTCTTATACAGATGTCTTCATGAACATAAGCACTCATATCTATGGGTATGTAGCCAGGATTATTTGGCATCGTATGTATGTATGTATGTCCAACTTTAAAAGATAATGCTAACTGCTGGTTGTACCAACTTACATTCTCAAAGTAGTGTATGAAAGTTCCAGTTGCTTTATATCTTTGTCAACACTTGATAGTCTTAGTTTTTTTTTATTTTATTTTAGCCATTCTGGTAGGTATGCAGTGGTACCTCACTGCAATTTTCATTATTTTGCTGATTAATAATGCAGTTGAACATTTTTTCATAAATTCTCTTTTATGAAGTGCCTATTTAAAGTTTTTACCCACTTCTGGAAACGGGTGTTTGTTTTTTCCTTATTAACTGCTAACTATTTTATCATTAACTGGTAACAGTTTTTATATTCTATTCTAGATATTAGTCCTTTTTTTGGTTATGTTCTATTATATATACATATATATATTATTGTATTACAAGTGTATTATATTATACATACATTATATATACTTTCCATATTCCAAATACTTTCTTACTTTTCACCCTCTTAATGGTGTCTTTTTTTTTTTTTAATATTTGTTTATTTCTGAGAGAGACAGAGCATGAGCAGGGGAGGGACAGACAGAGAAGGAGACACAGAATCTGAAGCAGGCTCAGGCTCTGAGTTGTCAACACAGAGCCCGACGTGGGACTCGAACTCACAAACTGTGAGATCATGACCTGAGCCAAAGTCAGACACTCAACTGACTGAGCCACCCTGATGCCCCAATGGTGTCTTTTTTTATTTCGACAATTGGATTGTGATTTTTAAGAGGCAAGACTGGCAAACCAGGGCTAGCATTGTACTTAATGGTGTCTTTTGATGACTCAATATTAATTTAATGAAATCCAATTAATTTATTATGATTATTGCATTTCGTGTTCTCATTAAGAAATTCTTTCTAACCCAAGATCATGAAGATTTGAAGCTTGAAGGTCCACTGTTTTATATGTTGCATTTAGGTCTACAAGACAGCTCAAATGAGTTTAAATGTGTGGTGTGATATAGGGGTCAAGGTTTATTTTAAAAATATGGACCCAATTGATCTAGCATCATTTTTTATAAAGATAATTCTTTCCCTGTTGAACTACAGTAGTGCTTTTGTTATAAATGAGGTGATTATGAAAAATGGGTTTGTCCCTGGACTATGTTTTGTTCCATTGATCAAATTGATTATTATTGATAGCACAGTGTAGCTTTATATCGTCAATATCTGGTGGTGTGATTCTTCCCTTTTGTTCTTCGAAGATTTCCCACATACTAAACCATAAAGTACAAACCTCTCTGTATGATCTACAAAGCTGTCTTTTAGAGTTAAAGCTTTTATTAATAACTACAGTGTCTGATACATGCAGTAGAAGGCAATACATATGGGTTGATATGAATTAGGTTGGAATGTGACTTTGTATGAGTACACAGTAACAAAAAACAAAGTGAAACATAAATACTGCTATCTCAATCTTTACTATGAAACTGGAAGATACAGCTTTTTAACATAAAGAGTTAATGCCACCTTTTACAAAAGTTGCATGGAATGGGGTAAAGCAAGCAACATGCTGATGGTCACACCAGTGCTTCTTGTAACTCCCTTAAACACGTTCCTATTGTCAAAGCATATTAAGCATTACCATGAAGAAAGAGGGAAGGAGAGGGAAAATAAAGGGGATTTTTTTTTCTAGAAGAGACTTTTATCCCTTGCCTTCCTCCTAGCATGGAAATTTTAGACTACCTATGAGAGGTTCTCAGAGCATACTGATGTAGCATCCTCTATAGAGCTAGTTTTAGAGTTCAATTTTTAAGAGGCTATTATAGAAGAGAGGATGACAGTCTGTAAAGTTATCTCATCTATAGTTTTGCTAGCACTGCTTAAATTGCTTTGGCAAGAATATCAGTGTATTTCATGGTTGGAAAGAATTTTTTTTGTGTGTGGATAGTGAAAGCAATCATTTTTAAGTATGCTTGCCAAATTCTACAATACAAAAAAGACTGGTTAATGCTCTGCATTATGATTTAGTGCTATCTGATGAAAAGGCAAAAAAAA